TGGGGCAAGGGAGGAACTGAGGGAGAATTTGGGGTGCTGGGGGGTTCTGAGGGGTCCTGTGGGTGTTGGGGGGTGCTGGGGGGATTCTGAGGGGTCCTGTGGGTGCTGGGGGGTCCCTCAGTTGTTTTGGGGGGGGGTCTCTGACCTTTCTCTCTCCCCCAGGGCTGCGGCAGCGTCGGGGAGCCCCTGAAAAAGGGGGGACCCCCAGCCGGCCCCCCCCGGACCCCCTGGGCTGGTTTGGGGTCCTGGTGCCCCCCAGTCTGCGGCAGGCCCAGGGCAGCTTCCAGAGGGGTGAGGACTGGGGGAACCGGGGGGAACTGGGAGGAACTGGGGGGAACTGGGGGGAACTGGGGATCCCCAAAAAACCAGCAAAGGTCCCCAAACCCAGAGGGGCCCAAGAATGGGGGGAAATGCCCCAAATCTGGGGTGTCCCCAGAACCGGGGAGGGCCCAAAGCTCACGGCCCTCGTGACCTCCTTGGTCCCCCCGGTGTCCCCCTGTCCCCAGGGGTGACGCTGGCCGTGGAGGTGGCCGAGCTCCAGGCCACCATGGAAGCTGCGGCCGCCCGGTACCGGCAACTCCTGCGGCAGAAACGTCACCTGGCCGGGGACAGCGGGGACAGCAGGGACAGCCAGAGCCCCACCGGAACCCCTGGGGACAGCAAGGACACCGAGCGTGACACAGTGACCTCAGTGACTGCGTGAACGAACACCGAGGACACGTCTGCAGGTGACACACGGGAGCACAGGTGACACTGTGAGCCACGGGGACATAGGTGACATGGGGCTGTGCTGACCCTTCACAGGTGACACAGAGGACAGCAGCACCTGCCTGTGGGTGACACCTGTCCCCAAGGGTGACACTGAGGACTTTGCAGGTGACACCGAGCCCCGCACAGGACTGAGGGGGGTCCCCCCATGTCCCAGTCCCCAATAAAGCCACCCTGCTGCCACCACGGGGTCATTTATCACCGTCGTCTGGTGCCAGCTGTGCCAGTGCCACCATGGCCAATGCCCCTGCAGGGTCATTTGTCACTGCTGTCACACCCTGGCCATGCCACTGCCACCATGGGCTCATTTGTCACCACTGTCACATGCTGGCCATGCCAGTGCCACCATGGGCTCATTTGTCACCACTGTCACATGCTGGCCATGCCAGTGACACTGCAGGCTCATTTGTCGCTGCTGTCCCGTGCCAGCCACAGCAGTGCCACCATAGGGTCAATTGTCATTGCTGTCACGTGCGGTGCCAGTGTCATGTGACTCGGACACGCCCCCCTTTTTGCCAAGGTCTATGTTTATTGGGCGGGGCCCTTGCCCCGACGGGGACATAGGTGACATGGGGCTGTGCTGACCCTTCACAGGTGACACAGAGGACAGCAGCACCTGCCTGTGGGTGACACCTGTCCCCAAGGGTGACACTGAGGACTTTGCAGGTGACACCGAGCCCCGCACAGGACTGAGGGGGGTCCCCCCATGTCCCAGTCCCCAATAAAGCCACCCTGCTGCCACCACGGGGTCATTTATCACCGTCGTCTGGTGCCAGCTGTGCCAGTGCCACCATGGCCAATGCCCCTGCAGGGTCATTTGTCACTGCTGTCACACCCTGGCCATGCCACTGCCACCATGGGCTCATTTGTCACCACTGTCACATGCTGGCCATGCCACTGCCACCATGGGCTCATTTGTCACCACTGTCACATGCTGGCCATGCCAGTGCCACCATGGGCTCATTTGTCACCACTGTCACATGCTGGCCATGCCAGTGACACTGCAGGCTCATTTGTCGCTGCTGTCCCGTGCCAGCCACAGCAGTGCCACCATAGGGTCAATTGTCATTGCTGTCACGTGCGGTGCCAGTGTCATGTGACTCGGACACGCCCCCCTTTTTGCCAAGGTCTATGTTTATTGGGCGGGGTCCTTGCCCCGCCCCCAGACCCCGCCCCCCACCAGGGGGCGGGGCCGACACAACAACGACTATGGGAGAGGGGCGGGGCGTGATGGGGCGTGGCCTGTGCGAGGGGCGTGGCCGGGCGAAGGGGCGTGGCCAGGTGCCCCCTAGCGGATGGTGTAGCGCACGTAGGGCACCTCGATGTCGGCGTCACTGTCGTCGTTGCAGCACAGCTCGAACACCAGGGCCTTGACGTGGCGGCCCAGCTTCTTCTTGGACACCCGCGTCACGATCTCTGTCATCCTGCGGGGACAGGGGACGTGGGGGACATGGCAGGGACAGGGGGCACTGTCATCCTGCGGGGACAGGGGGGACATGGCAGGGACAGGGGGCACTGTCATCCTTCAGGGACAGGGAACATGGGAGGGACAA